CTAAACCCCAAACCCCAAACCCCCACCAAAAAACAGATCCCAAACCCAAAACAAGGCTTAAACCCCAAACCCCCCAAACCCGTACAGCCCTAAACCCTCGAGGACGCCCGCCGGCGCCTGGAGCGTGGCGGCTGGGCCCAGGCGGAGGACTTCGATCGGCTGCAGCCCGGGCCTTGGATCTGTTTGAGGGTTCTCCTTTAGGGTTTAGGGGTTCATGGGTTTAGGGTTTAGGTTTTAAGTTGTTTTTTGGATGTGGGGGGTTTTGTTTGCCCCTCTTTCTGAGGAATGAACGGGCCTCATGAGATGGCATCAAGGCTTTCTCAGGCGGCAGGCGTCAAGGTTTTGAGGCTGTGGATTTTGAGGTGTAGTGTTAAAGGGTTTTCTTGGGTTCAGGTTCCTGGCTTCAGGGTTTAAGGTTAAAGTTCTGGGGTGACGATTTCTGCTAAGGACAAAAGAGGCCCCCATCTCGGACTGTGTATTCTAGGGCTCTGTTTATCGTGGCACGTTCCGAAAGGGGGTTCGTTGGTCTGGTCCCATGAAGCCGAAGTTCTGTCCGAGGATGCTCTGCAGTTCGAAGGCCTACGAATCACCGAAGGCGCCGGGCGGGCTGCGGGATTGCAGGATATCAAGGGATTTCGGTCTTCGCTTGCGATGCGTCCTCAGCTGACGACTGTACTTGGGCTTTTGCTGCTCTTGCTGCTGTTATTCGGTGGCTCTCTTGTCAGCAAGATGATCGTGAGTCAGAAGTCTAAAGACCTCAAGCCAACAGCGAAGCCCTCCAAGAACTCTTACAGGAACCCTTCAACTAAACCTAAAGCGAAACGCTTCTGGGAAATCCACTTAGCGAGGCTTCGGCGAAGAGGGTGCTGCGGCCGGACCGTCTCGTGGCGGGCGAGACTGGGGGCAGGTCGGCTTGGGTTTGGCTTTTGGTGGTTTAGGGGTTCGGGTTTAAGGTTTCAGGGCTCTTTTGGTACGTTGCAGTCTGACTATACGGTTTCGGGCTTTGGATTGGGGCTTGGGGCTTGGGATCCAAGTTCAAGATGCTTTGAGTCATAAAAACAGAAAGTCCTATATCACGTCGGTTTGAACCCCTTCTTTAGGTACCACATAGTATAACTACAGGGTTATAGTGAACCCTAAACCCTAAACCCTAAACCCTTTCTTTTGACAGGATCGCGCTGGTCCCGCTCGAGGGCATCGCACGGAGTCTATCGGGAGACATGGAGCTGCCTGAACCGGCAGAACTGCGGCTTGGGCGGTAATCAATATTAGGAGAGGGTTCCGTTGCTAACGATTCTGTAGACAGTTTCATAAGGGATAGAACGTTAGAAGAGGGTTCCCTTTGATAAGGATTCTGTAGACAGTTTCATAAGGGATAGAGTATTAGCAGAGGGTTCCTTTGATAAGGATTCTGTAGCAAGTTTCGTAAGGGATAGCATGCCGATGATAGTGAATATGAAGGATGATGCTCGCAACAATACTGCTAAGGACGGTGATGACGATGGTGAGTACGATGCGGATGACTTTGTTGATGATAACGATGACGACGGCGTTCATGGTTCATGATTAATGCTTTAGTGATTTGATGACTCGTGGTTGGCACTGCTGACGATGAGGGTTCGCAACAAGTACTAGAGGTGCAGTCTTCTTCGTATTCGTCGTATCTTCTTCTTCTTCTTCGTCATCGTCGTCCCCGTCGTCGTCATCCTCACGTCCAAGATCAAGTGATGCAGGTTTCGTTCTGTCGTGTCCTTGGCTCAGTGTCGTGTTTCGCGTCCTTGTCTCGTGCCTTGTGTCCTGCTTTCGAGTGTTGGTCCCCCATATCACAGGCTCCAGCGTCGTCCTCTGATCTGCTCTTCGTTTAGTTGTTTTCAATTCGGATGCCTATTGTCATGGGGATGTGGCTGTCGTCTCTTGCACGGTCTTAGCAGTCCCTTTATGGTAAGTCTCTTTCATCGACCATTTCCCTTTCGCCGGCTTGATTCCTTGCTGCGGGTTCCGAATCGGCTGTTGGAGATTCAAGGCTCCTTCTACACGGGCTCACAGAAGTTCGAGGAAGGTTTTCTAGCACAGAGCACTGTAGCGTCATGTTGGTATAATTAAACACAGGACCTGAGAACGACCTGAGACCGAACGTTGTGCGAGGATGGACTACATCAGCAAGGTGCTTATCATCTCCAGGCCAATATCTCAGCGGGTTTCGTGTGGCTCTTGCCCGGGCTTTCTGTGTTTTATCTTTTTGGGGGGCCGCTAATTGTGTTCTCGTTCAGGAAGCCTAAACCCTAAACCCT